TTCTTCTCAGGTGCTGAGCTACAGCCAGTTATGTGCAGCTCTAGGAGTAAAACAAGAGAGCCTAGAACCCACGTCTTTCCTCAGCAGGGGGGAAATTCACGCCTTCCTCAGCTCTCCCTCTGGAAGGAGAACCAAGCGGTGAGTAGGCCCCGTGTCTGTAACGGTGCGATGCAATGTTGGCTCCTGCGTGCCAGGCTTGCGTTCCCTCCTGACCCCTGCAACCATCTGAGGGGCTCCATTACCTACCCTGTTACACAGGGGGCTCCTAAAGTGTAGCAAGGAGAAGCAGCAGATCCCACGAAAAACAAAGCTGGGGTTGAATCCAAGCCTCAGGCCCCTGGGCCTAATCTCCACTATCTGCAGCCCCGTCCTCCTTTCTCCCACCCGGCTCTCTCTTGCTTTAACCTAGCTCCCTCTGAGGGAAGATAGTCTTGAGCACAAGTTGAACCCAGCTCTGGCTCTGGCCCTGCCACACGCCAGTCTTGTGCCATCCTGGGCCGCCCTTCTCCTCAGTGTTGCTCCACTCCCGCTCCAGCTGTAACCTGAGTAGTGTCCTCAGCACTTTCCTTGCTCCGCCCTGGTGTCCACCCTCTCCCATGTGTGTCCCATGTACTACTCCCTGTCTCTCCTATCTCAATGTCCTGCCTGTACCACCTGAAATAACTTCTCCTCCCGACCTCACCCACCTGAAGAACTCTTATTGATCCTACAAAGTCTAGGTGAGCAGGACCTTCACTGTGCTGCCGACCTTGCCTCTATGACTCTGTGCCATGAGCTTCCTGAGGGCAGGCACTGGGTAGCTCTGTTGTCCCTGCTCACAGCACACTGGGGCAGGCCAGGCAGGTCCCTAGGACCAGGCTGGCCTCCCAACACTGCCACCTGTGACCAGATTCCTGGCTCCCCTGCCTCACAGGAAGCGGGAGAACAGCCTCCAGGAGGACAGGGGCAGCTTTGTCACCACGCCCACCGCAGAGCTGTCCAGCCAGGAGGAAACGCTGCTGGGCAGCTTCCTGGACTGGAGCCTGGACTACTGCTCTGGCTATGAGGGTGACCAGGAGAGCGAGGGCGAGAAGGAGGGCGATGGTGAGTGCCACAGCCATGAAGCCACCCAGGTGCTGGGCCAGAGGGGACAGTGGGCAGGAGGGCAGCTGGCGTAGAGGACCCCCTGGCCTTACCTGCAGGAGAACACGTCTAGACACAGGTAGATATGAGAGAGCAGAGCCCCTGGGACACCACAGCAGGGGTGGGGGTGGGGAGGGATGTTCTCCTAGCCCACGGGGAGGAGAGGATTTAGGCCAAACCTGTTTCCAGCTCCAACTGGGCCTGTGTTGATGGAAGGACCTCACCAGGGCAGGGGAAGAGGGAGAGGTCCTGTCTGGAGTTCACAATAAAATCCTTCCAGAACATTGTGTGAGATGTGCCCCCACCACTCTGTTGGGCTCTTTGCCTCACGCACCCCTCGGGGCAGGCTGCAGGAGGCTCTGTCCCCATGTTCTCAGGTAGCCGTCTGCACAGGAAGCCCAGCTCAAGCAGTTTCTAGCAATTTTTCCAATTGCTTGCTTCTCTGTCCACTCAGGAGATTAAGTAAATTATTAGATGGCCAGTTTGTTGTCATTTCCTACTGTCTCCCAAGTCACATAGGGTGCCACCCCAAGCTTGAAGGAGGCACTTCACCCTCAATTTCTTACCCAAAGGAGAGCAGCACTGTCAGGCGAGGTCCAGGATGTGTGGCCAAGAGCCACACCTGTCCTGGCTGAGAGCTGGACCCTGGGCCACCTGGGGTCCTGACTGGGCAGGGGGTCACCTTGATGCTCGGGCTGTGGCCTGACTTCTCCCCTGATGTCTCCCACAGTGACAGCTCCCAGCGGCATCCTCGATGTCATGGTGGTCCACCTGAACCCAGAGCAGCACTGCTGCCAGGAATCGAGTGACGAGGAGGCCTGCCCGGAGGACAAGGGACACCAGAATCTACACACCTTAGTGCCAGGAACCCAGACACCTCAGACCCCAGGGCCTGAGCCCTCTCTCTGCAGCAGGAGGGAGCCGGGCAAGGACATCACGACCTCAGGGTACTCCTCTGTCAGCAGTGTGAGTCCCACAAACTCTGTGGACAGCAGCTCAGGGGGCCCTCCCCGATCTACCTCAGTGCTGTCCCCAGGCAGTGACTCGAACACACAGCCTTGCCACCATCACACCAAGAAGTCATGTTTACAGTGTCGTCCCCCGAGCTTCCCAGAGAACAGTATTCCCCAGCAACAGGTGAAGAGGAAAAACCTATCCGCCCACAGCGTGGAGGGGGAGGAGGAGATGAACTTGGGCTTCTGAAGCTGTGAGTGTGTGAGAGCTTTTGCCACAGTGAAGGTTTGCTGAGGGAGGGCTGCTGTTGTGCAAGTGAGGGGTGGGGGCTTGTAGACCCCCGGGGGCTGTCGCACAGGGAACGGAGAGGAGAACTTGGAGCACTAAGTTTCCTTCTCCAGGGGAGTCAGTCCCGTGTGAGCCAGCAGAATGTCTAAATCAGAACAAAAATCTCAGATCCTTCTCTTTGGAAAGTTTAGATTCAAAGTAATCATGCCACACCATGTGGAGCCTATTTCTCTGTCCCCTCCTGTGTCCGTACTGTTTTCTCCAGGAAGCTTAAGCCCACATCCTGATCTTCCCAGCCCCACTGAGCCCCATCCCAGGAGCCGACAGCCTTCACTATTGAGAACACGCGTGACCAGGTAGCCTGGCACAGCTTACCCCTCCCTGCATCTCTCTGATATTGGGTTCCAGGGTGAGCTGATAGCCCTGAGCCCACCACCATCCCCGAGCCCACCTGCCCGGGCATCCGCTCCCTTCCTCACTGAGTGGTGGGTCCCAGAGTGAAGAAGCCAAGCCCTGCACATCAGCGTGGACTGTGTGTGACTGCCAGGTGTGAGGGCCCTGACCTTTTGCAGGCCAGGGCCTTGATGTCAATGGCCACAGGTTCCCTCCCTCCCACACTCTAGCTCATTTTAGAAATCTGTCCTTCCTCCCGGAATGACTCGTCTGTGTCCCCGACAGATGGTGTTCGTAGGAATGTCTCTCTTTGCGCTGAATTTCTGGGCCATTTCTTTTCCTGTCTTTATTGGCATCCTTCATTCTTCCTCTAAGATGAAAACAAAAGAAAAATTAAAAATAGAAGGTATTACATTAAAAAAACAAAAGATTCTTAACATTATTTAGGCCTAACTAAAAAATGAAACTCTGATTCAAATCCCTCATTGCTATCCTGACACGGTTTATGCAAAGAGAATTTTCCCAGAGAGGTTAGCCAGAAAAAAATTGTGTCATTTGTAACATCTGAGGTGACCAAGATGCCGAAGAGCAAGATTCAGAGGACCTGTCCCTGCCTGTGGGTGAGGGTGGATCTGCTTAGGGTTACCAAGAATAATGAGCTGCAGAGACTCGGACGCCCCCAGCAGGGGCAAGAGCCAGAACACCTAAGGGATCTGCCAAACACTGACCCTGACCTCTCTCCCCAGCTGGGTTGACCACCAACACACTCGCCCTGCTGTGATAGCTTTTGTCCTCTCGAAATGTCAGAAAGAACCACTTGGCCCGTGAGGAGTGTCCCCCAAATGCTCTTGAACCAGAACTACAGGGACATGGAGATGCTGACTCCATGGCAGCTTTTCTGGGTGCTTGTTATGTATGTGTTGATGTCCCCATGTGAGCTGTCTTTTTGCTACTGTAAGAATCATGACCACCCTGGGTGGGGCATGGTTGGGGTGTGAGGGGACCTCGGCTGTGGGATTGCAGACCTGTCCTGTTGACTGTGTGCCCCTGGGTATGTGTGAGCCTCAGTTTCCTCGTCTGTAAGATGGGACAATAATACCTACCTCACAGGGGTGTTGTGAGGATTAAATGTGATGAGGATAGTGGCAGCCGAGTATCTGAACTGCCTCATCTCTGTCCATGACCCTTATCAAAATCTCAACTCTGGATGGACCCACTTTCCTGCCTTCTCCCAGCCTGTACCTGTAGGAGGAAACCACTCCAGTGGGGACCTAATACTGCCTGACTGTGGTGTGGAGTCTCCTTGAATCTCACAGAGAATCTCATCTTAGGCAGGAATGCCATCAGCCTCCCCTCCACTAGGCATGTAAAGGGGCCACTGCCGATGGAGGGGCCCACTCTAAGAGCAGTCCCAGGGCTGCCTGGATCCTGACCCTCTTACCTTTCTCTGCCAGGCACCCTCAACTCCCCTCCTTCATGTCTCTGTCCCCTATGCTGCAGCACTTTCCTATTAGCGACTATGAAATGGACACCTCTCCATCTTCTGCCTGCCCCCCCAGGTTTGTTGTCCTTCCAGCTACCCTCTGAGATTTCTCTGCCCCTGCGGGGTTTGCATTAGTTGTCTATTCTTGTTACCTCCAATGATGTTGGGCCCTGCTGTGTGCATCACTCCTCCCAGCCAGCATCCCCTTCTGTATCTATCCCTCACCGTCCCCGTCCATGCACACCTGCCCAGCCTTGCCCAGGCCCATTGCTCCATGTGCCACATCTTCCGTCTCCTGTGCTTCATCCCTCTGCCCAGGTGCCTACCTGATGCCTCCTGGACGTCATCACGTCACCAGCATGTACAAAAGTGAACACTCCCTCCTCCCTAGTCCCCGCTCCCAAATCCTCACTTCTAGAGACTGTTCCCCCGGTAAATACCTACTGGGCCCCTCCACGTGCCTCGCCCTGTGCTATGTGGCCCAGGGTCAGCACAGCAACTTGGCCCTCCTTTAGAGCACCTTCGCTAACGACAAAGACGAAGCCGATCGTTAAGCGATCACAAGTGCCACCATCTCCCCAGCTGTCCACACCACAAGCCTGCGTGTCACCCGAGGTCCCTCTGCAGACCCCACCCAACCCATCCCCCAGGGGGGCGGAGGCGGGCTGTCGAGGGGCGGGCCCTGAGCTCTGGGCTCGGGATTGGGTAGTCCGGACGGAAGGGGCGGTCTTCTAGCACGGAAGGGGCGAGACCTTCCGGTGGCGGCAAATTGTGAGGAGCCGCTGCCACTTTCATGCTACCTGCCGGCTGCTCGCGCCGGTGAGGCCAGCGTGGCGGAGGGAGTGGGGGCGGGAGGGGGCGCGGCCCGAGGCTGGTGGGGTGCTGACCGCCGGTGCGTACTTCCCAGGCTGTTGGCCGAACTGCGTGACGCCCTGGACGCCTGCGCCGAGCGACAGCGGCAGTTGGAGCGGAGCCTGCGCGTCTCCCGGCGGCTGCTGCGGGTCTGGTACGCGGACCCCGGAACCCCTGGCCAGGCCTCCCTTGGCCCTCAGACCCCGCTCGGAGCCTGGGGCCGGGAGGCCGCGCCCAGCGCCCGCTTCCGAGTTGCGGGTCGTCGGTGCGCCGCCCTTTCCCTACAAGCCCTGAGGCTGGGGTTGGCTCTGAGCCCAGACGGCCCCGTGGGGTGTTGGGCCCGGGCCCTGCCTCCTGGCCGAGCCACGGCTGCCCCGTGTCTTCGCAGGGAACCAGCCGAGCCTCCGGCTCCCGAGCCAACCCCAGGACCAAAAACTAATGAAGAGGCGGGGTCTCCAGGTAAACCTCCACCACCACCTTTGCCAGTCGCTGCCCTGGCCTGTCTTCTGGCACGCATGGGGAGGGACCCCTCTTGGGGGATAGTGGCGGGGGGGGGGTGCACTCCATAACTCTTGGCTTTTGCAGCACGCACACCCAGCCCCCAAGACCTCAAAGAGCTGGAGCTTCTGACCCAGGCACTGGAGAAGGCTGTACAAGTGCGAAAAGGCCTCTCTAAGACTGGAGAAAGAGACAGGGCCTCCAGCCTGAAGTCTGGGTCCGTTGCCTCTCCTGCCACCACAGCCTCTGCCCCACTCCACACCTCAGGCCGGGGTGGCAGCCAAGCATCAGAGACAAAACCCCCCAGGGGCATTCGCCGGACCACCGTGCCTGCCAAGGGCTTCCCTGAGCACAGGCTTCTGTCAGTGGGGGATCGGACCTGTATGGGGAGAGGGGCCCGAGCTGCCAAGCCTGGACCAGGCCTCAGGGACCAACAAATAGCCCCATCAGCTGCTTCTCAGTCCCCAGAAGCTTTCACACTCAAGGAGAAGGGGTAGGTTTCCCAGACCCTCTCTGCAGGAACTGCTGTCTCTACGTGATCAGACCCTGGCCAGCAACAGGAGTCTGGGATTTCTAGTGATGGGGAAGGCAGGGCATTGAACTGCATGTAGGCTAGGGGAGCCCCAGGTGCCACCCCATGAGGCCCATGCCCAGAAGCTGGCAGAATGGAACAGCTGGCTGTGAGGGTGCTGGTCTGGTGTGCTGGGGCCTGTCCCTCTTTCCTCCCTGGCTGTGCAGTGCCCTATATTCTTATCCACCCAGCCTGGGGCTCCAGATAGGCCCTGAGGGCCTGTGCTCTGCTCATGGTGCCCTCTCTTCTCTCTGGTAGGGCAAACCTAGACTGGGCTGGCTCCCACAGTCACTCTGGAAGCCCTCTTCAGGGGGAGGGGGTGAAGCGTCATCCCTGATTGGGCTCTGAGCAGGGAGCGGGACCTGCAGCCCCTATGTGAGGCAAGGCTGCTCTGAGCCCTGGCTTCCCTCACAGGATTCTGCTGCAGCTGCCCATGGCCTTCAGGAAGGCGGCTTCCCAGAACTCCCGGTGAGGCTGAGTCTTGCACCTGGGAGGGGCAGAGGGGAGACCAGGGGAGGGTGGAGAGCAGCTCGGGGCCATGTTGGTAAGACTTCCAGCAGGTCCCTCTGCTTTCTTTGCTGGGTGGGGATACTCTCCAGGTTAAGAGAGTCTGCCCAGCTAGGACTGCCATAGTCACCTTCGATTCAGTGCCCTTTGAGGCCCCCAGCTCAGCCACTCATAAACTGCTAGAACTTGAGCAAAGCAGTTGGTGTCTCCGAGTCCCAAATTGTCTTCCCTGTGGAGGTGACGATCACAGTACCGGCTTTGCAGAGGTGTTATGAGGGTTAAATGAGGTGGTGCCTTTCAAGCCAGCACCCAGAGGTCTTACCAGTCGTCCCACCTACCAGTCACCTGCCCCTCTCCCCTTCTTTCTTGAAGTTTCTCCTGGTATTTCCCAGAGTGGGTCAGCTCTGTCCCCTTTTCATGGACAGTGTCCTCTGGGTTCCCCAAGGCCCCTGCAGGCCGCCTCCTGGCATTCAGCAGAGCCAGACACCCCAAGCTGGGGCTGCTACCCTGGCTGGTCCTTGCCCACCTCCAGAGGCCCAGCCCGGCTGGCTGGAATAACCGTACCCCTCTCTGGTTCCCGGGGTACCTGTCTGTGCATCCCAGCCTGTGGGCCCAGCTCAGCTCTACAGAGACCGGTGACTCCATGGATGCCGCTATCACCGCCAAAACCCAGTTCCTCCACAAAATGCAGACAACCGAATCCTTGCTGGGCTTGTGGGAGCCTGGGGGAGGGAAGGTAAGGGGAGGTTCTGGCTCTAAACTTGGTGAGTTTGAGGAGCAGCTCCCAGACCCTGTCCTTGTGGGGAGGGGAGGGGAGGATCCTGGCTACAGGGGAGTTTCCCTGACCCGTGTCCAGTCAGGCTGGCCTGGCTCCGGGCTCAGTGCTGCAGAGGTGGAGAGAGAGGTGGGGCGCCTGCGGAAGGCCTGCTCACTGCTGAGACTGCGCATGGGGGAAGAGCTCACAGCAGGTCAGTGGGCCCTTATGCTGGTCTTGCCTCAGGATGGGGAGGGCTGGGCTCCAGGAGGGCTTCAGGACCAGCATGGACCCAGCCTGTACTCCCTGACTCTTGCGTAGACCCCAAGGACTGGATGCAGGAGTACCGCTGCCTGCTTACCCTGGAGGGGCTGCAGGCCATTGCAGGACAGTGTCTCCACAGGCTGCAGGAGCTGCATGCAGGTGAGACCCCGACCCTACCCCTACTCACACCTGTGCTGAAGTCTGGTTGGGGGTCAAGGTCCTCTAGCCACAGGGCAGTGTTGGGACTTTAACAGCAACCCCGGAGCAGAGGCAGGCAGGCCCTTCCCTGTGTCACCCCACTTCATCCTGAGTTCTAACCAGCTGTCCTTGTGGGACCAGCTGAGACGGCCCCCCCACCCCATACCTCCTGCTGACACACAACTGTATCACTTTGAGTAGTTTGCTTAATTATCTAGTTATTGAAAAAGCGGCATGTGAGAATCAGGTACTGGCAGATGACTCGCCTGATATTGCAGGAGATGGTTGTTTTTCGACAATAGGGTTTTGTCTAGGAGACAAAGGCAGGCTTTACACCCCCTTGAAGGCAAGTGAGGAGAAGGTGCCTGGCCACCGCCTCATGAGGCCACATCCCCTGTCCTCACAGCAGTGATGGGACAGCAGCTGGTGCCATGGCCTGAGGGGAGACTCCCCAGTGCCCCATCGTTCTGTGGAGGAGGAACAGACACCATCTGGAGCCCCCAGTTGCTTCTCTATTCCAGCACCCAGGAGCTGCAGACCCTGGCGTCCCTCAGGCTGTGGGTAGCCATGCTGGACCAGCAGATCCACCTGGAAAAGGTACTTCCAGAGTAGGGGTGGGGAGTGGGTGGCGGGTGCCAGGGGAGCTGTGGGCCTTGGGGAGGACTCCAGGTCTGGAGCCTCATGAGGGCTCAGCCTTAAGATCCTGTCTACACTCTCACCTAGGATCCCCAGGGAGGATGGGAGCCTCTAGGCTTGTGCACGTGCTGGACACAGCACCAGTGGGGGCAGCAGGAGAGAGCATGGGCCTTTGGGAGGAGGGAGGGACTGGAGCATGGAGCCTCGAAGCCTGCCCTGGAATTGCCCCACCCCTGGGCCCACCTGTGGGGCCCTTGGACCCGCCACCTGGGATTGGGACCCCCTGAGACCTTGGCCTTGCACTGCTCCCCCAGGTCCTGATGGCTGAACTCCTCCCCCTGGTGAGCACACAGAAGCCTCGGGGGCCACGCTGGCTGGCACTGTGCCGTGCTGTGCACAGCCTGCTCTGTGAAGGAGGTGAGCATTTCCTCACCATCCTGCGAGACACACCTGCTAACTGAGCCCTTCGCATGGCCAGCCCCCCCAGCCCCACTCCTAGGGCTCAGGACCCTGGGGCGAGGGTGAGCTGGTCCTGACCCTGAGCCTGTCGGGAGAGCTCCACTCTCCCTGGTCAGGGTTAAGTAAATGCGTATAGAGGAGATTTTCACTTCTGCAGTGGGCCTGGGGACCCAGAGATGCCTGTACCCTTCTGGGAAAGCAGGTTTCTGAGGTGGGATGGGGATGGCCCCCTGGCTCTTCCTGAGGAATCTAGGGCCCTTCTCACAGCTGCTAAACCTGCTGGTCAAGGCTTGGCTCAGCCTGGCTTTCCACAGGCTCAGGAAGATCAGAGGCCTATGGGGGGCTTTTCTTAGCTACCTCTGTTTTCTCTCGCTTTAGACTTAAAAGCCACTGTGTGACATTAAAACTACTTTAGAAAGTATATATATTTAAGTCGTATCACATCTCTCCTGGCATCCATGCCCACCACCTCCTCCTGGGCCATTGCTGGGGCTGGTGTGGGTCCCCCAGCTGAGCTTGCGCCAGAGAACAGGCCCATCCCCCCTCAGCCGTGACCCCTCACCTGCTCTACTATCACCTCTTCCAAGGTTCCTGCCTCCCCTGCTGAAGGAGAATCAATTGCTTTGTGGAAGGCAAGAAAGTATAGAGGTCAAGGTCATGGCCTCTGGGTTTACACCAGTCAGATTTGGGTTTACACCATGACTTGTTTGCTGCTGTGGCACTTTCAGAAAGATTCTTAAGGGCTCTGAGCCTCAATTCCCAGTATTGTCCCTCCTGTCATACTGGGGGTACTGGTTATTACCCCTGGGGCTGGGGTGAAGATGAACGAGATGTATGAAGATGAAGAAGATGTTGAGCCCGAGGCCTGCGCGGAGCACAGCCAGCGACGCACCCTGGGCCAGATCCAGGCAGGGTCCGCACAGTGAGAAGGTGATGGGCCATGGCAGCGGCGCTGGCCATCAGGGCGATGATGCCAAATGGCAGCATGCAGCCCAGCCACAAGCCCCGTGTGCCACCAGTGGCCAAGAGGAGTGCGTGCAGGGTCCCCCTGGAGGTGGGGGAGGGCAGCGGCTATGCTGGGTTCTGGTGAGGGCTGGGAGGCTGTGACGTTCTTTAAACGAATCTTTCCTGAGCACCTTTATGGACGAAGCACAATCCTCAGAGCTGGGGCACTGGCCCTTTGTGTGCACAGGAAATAACACCAGCCTCTGCCTCAAGGGACCCAGGCCTAGGAGGCAGGTAGCTCCTGGAGAAGGCCAGGTCTGACAGCCAGGTGAAGTGTTGCATGTATGGGGGGTGAACTGGGTGGTGTTGAGGCAGCTTCGTGGTGAATCCAGGCCCCTGGCAGGAGGCCCTGCTTGTAAAGGGCTCCACAGTCCAGTAGGCCAGAAACCTTCGACTTGGAGTCCTGGGTCTTGAATGCTGCTGGGACCAGATGACAGACCAAAGTAGGAAATGAAAAGCCAGGGTCCTCATTGCACTGAGGGGCCTCCAGGGAGTGGAACAGCTCCATCCACTGCCCAGGGCAGGAACCACAGGAAAGGGGGAGCCTGGGGGACAACCACCCACCTCCTGGTCACCCACTGCTGCCTCCAGAGCTTATGCCTAGGTGCTCAGGTCTCAAGGAACCCTTAATCCCCAGAGTGAATTCCACCAACACCCTGTTGCCACCGCAGAATCAGTTTTTGTAGCAGGTAGTCTTCACCAGTTATTTCATCCACCGGGTCACTTGTTATTGTGCACCTTCCCTACTGGACCTTTGCCCCACAAGGGCAGTGGTTCTATCCACCTTGATCCCTAGCCAGGCCCGGATGGGCACCCAAAGGTTGTTGACTCAGTGACCCACCTATCTGGTGCCAGTCCTGGGCACTGGTGGTGTCCTGTGGCCACTGCAGACGCCTGGGCCTTTGGCAGGGAGGTGCTGTGGATAGCTTGAGGGGGAAGCTCTGGGAAGGACCCAACACACGGAGCCCACAGCAGGAAAGGGAGAACCCCTCCAGATTAGCGCCCGCCCACCCCGATTCCGCGCCAAACCAGGAGGTGGTGGCGAACTCCTCTCCCCGGCGTCACCGCATCCCGGGCCAATCCGCTCTGACGTGGCCGGTGAGGACCGGAGTTGGGGCTGCGCGGGCGCCCCACACCCACCCCGAGCGCGGCATGAGCGCGCCTGAGCCCCCGCCCGCGGCGCCTGCCGAGCCCCCCGCGCCCCCCGAGCCTCCCGGGGCCCTGCGCGCGCTGCTCTTGGCCACCGGCGGTGTGGGGAGCTCGTGGCCGCGCTGCGTCTTGCCATTCGGCGGCGTCGCCCTGCTGGCCGGTGCCGCCTCCACGACCATCACCTTCTCGCTGCGCGGACCCCGCCTGGACCTGGCCCAGGGCGCGTCGCTGGCCGCGCTCGGCGTGGGCCTCGGGCTCCTGGCCGCCGCCTTCCTGTGCTGGCGCGCTCGGCGGCAGCGGAGGGCCGCGCGCGGCGGGCAGCGGAAGCCAGGGACGCCCTGAGCTCGCATGCGAGCCCCCCTCACCAGCGAGGTCACGGCGAGCTGGGCGCCTCCTCCCTCCAGACCTCACCCAGGCCGGCGAGCGCAGTGCGGCGCGCGGGTCGCGGAAACCCCCTCCCCAGGTTCCCTCCCCAAACCGTTCCTTTCCTAATCCTTAGGAAGCACGGGCGGAGGGGGCTACGAGTCATTTCCCTCCCCTCCCCCGACTCGGCTCTGCTCCTCTCGCATCCCCTCCGCCCAATGTTGCTTTTCAGCGTTTCGCTTGGCGCGCAGAGCTGGTCGCGACTGCAGAGCGGGCCTGGCTGAGCGCGGGGCGGGCGGGAGTCTGCGCGGCACGGAACCCTGCCGTGCACGGTGCAGGGCGGCGGCGGGCCCCGAACTCGCGGTGGCCACCCTCCTGGGGCGAGGCGCAGCCTGCTTTGTCCCTCTCCCCCAGCCATCTGTCTTCCCCGCTGGGTTGGAAGCCCCTCGAGGCATAATAGGCGCTCAATAAATGTTTGCGCGATCCGTGAACAAGTGTGGCTTGCAAGCGTCTGGCGGGGGCAGTAGGCCCTGGGCTAGGCCAGAGTATTTGATCAGTCGGCCTTTTAGGGGAAAGACCTCAGCTCTCTGAGGCCTGGGACTGTCAGGCCCCCTCTGTCCCTTCTCCCTCAGATAGGTTCCCTGCATGCCCCAAAACCAGCGACTGTCACTCTGAGTGGGGCTGGGCGTAGAGGGACTGCAGGGGCAGGAGGAATTACAGGTGGGGGCTGGGAGGCGGAGCCTCTTCTAAGGTGCCAGGAGGGGGCATGGCCAGCAGAGAGGTGGTAAGTGTGAGAGGCCACAGTCGGGCTGGGGTCAGGTGATGAGTCCACAAAGAGCAATGAGCCTGGGCTGGGGGCTGGGAGGAAGGCCCTCCCTGACACCCAGCACACCATCTGCCAGGGCTGCCCTGGGGGCCAGAAGAGAATGTGTGCAGAAGGCCATTCCAGGGAAGAGAGACCAGGCTGCCTGCAGCCTCCTCCCTGGGGAGCTAACTGGTGGTGTAGCAACCCTCTGGGCCCGGGCTCCCTGCCTGCTGACCCCAGTGAACGCTTGCAGCAGGCTGAGCCCCAGGGGCCTCCTTCCACCTACACCAGAAGGGGGGGGGGGGGTGCTGCTCCTGCTTTCCTCCCTTCTGGCAAGAGTCCTGAAGTCCAGACAGCCAGGGTTCCCTGGACACTTGTCTCAGGCCCTGTGGAACCCGTGTTGTGCCTGGGCGTTTCTCCCTATTGTGGCCAGCTGGTCACCTTCTTGCTTCTAATAGTCCCAGAAGGACCTGTTGCAGCCCCCACCCTCCCACCAGGGCTCCTCTCATCCCAGGTGGGGTTTGAGGCTGATGACCAGAAGTACCTTGAAGAGGATGGTTGGGAAGGTGCTGTTTCTGAACTTGACCCATCCCAGAGCAGAACATGCACCCTGCCAGCTCCCTCATTATGCACAGCTGTTTGTTATAAGGGACATGTTCTCCATTGGGAAGTTGAGGGATGGGGCCCCATGGTGCCTGATCGGTGGGGCAGGAGGGACCCACAGCCTTCCTGCCGCTGCCAGAGGTGAAGGGAGAGGCCAGCAGCCCTTCTGGGCCTCCTGGCTCAGTCTTGTCACAGTCTTCCATCATCCCATCAGTTCCTCCATCCTGGACCCCTGCATTTGTGCACATCAGGCCTGGGGAAGGGCCTGACCAGAGGGCGTCAGCACCCTGTCTTCCTGCTGCTCCTCCTCCAAGGTCAAGCCCTTCTGCTTGTCCTCTCCTCGCTCCATTTCCCCTGGGAGGCCCCTCCTCTCCTAAACAGCACAAAGGTTCTGCCTCTCTCCATCCTCTTCTTATCAGTCCTTGCAGCCTCGCTGGGCTGGCCGGGCCAAGGGTGGCAGCTCCGCCTACACAGATACACCACGTGGTGTCCTTCCCCGGCTGCAAGGCCTCGCCTGGGGTCAGCCCTCCCGTCTGAAACTTCAGGCCTCAGCACTGCTCCCACGCGGATTGTGTGCCTGAGTTCCCTGCCCGCTCTGCATGGGGCAAACCCTTCCTAGGATGCTTGGTCCCCTCCATCAAGGACCTAAAGCTCTGTCCAGAGTGATTCCTGCCTCTCTTGGCCGGGGCAACTCTCAGCTGTAGCTGCCCCATCCCCAGCTGCTGCCCAGGCTACCCAGCTGGGCTTCTATTTCCCTACCCAAACCTGCTGGTATGTGAGCCAGGCTCTGGGGTTCTGACACTCAGCAATCTGTGACCAGGCCCTCCCCATGGATCAAACCCCACTCCCTATCATTCCCCATGGGTCCTCAACAGCTGACCAAACCCCTGAACCCCAAGAGGCTCGGACACCTAGTGGGCTATACCCACCCACTCACCTCCCACACACACATGAACAGCTCACACTTCCTCCCTGCCAGCTCTGAAGGCTAGGACCATCATGGTGATGCAACTACACTCAGAGACCCAGGGATGCTTTGGGACAAGAGTTTTGTCTGATCCGGGTTGGGGACACCAGCCTCATCCCTTAGTCAGGACAGTCCTGGGCAGGGGGCCGGGGGCAGTCCTTTCTGAACACAAGGCAGGAAGGACTCAAGTCTGTTGAGCCCCTGGTTACATCCAACACCTATGCAGCTAATCAGATCCCCCTGACAACTTTGCAAAGTTGAATAACAGGCATCTGGCCAATGAGGAAACTGAGGCTCCAGCAGGTTAAGGAATCTGAACCACACAGCTGGAAATTGGAGCAGCTTGGATTAAAAGTCAGATCTGGCCCCAATCCTGGGTTCTTTCTACTAGAGCAGACTGCTGCCTTGGGGACACCCCTGGGCTCCCCCTGCCCTGGGTGTGCCTTGTAGAGACTGAAGGCAGCATCCGGGTTCCAATGCTCAGATCCAGGGCCCAGCCTGCCTAAAGGGCCTGGGGGAAGAGGTGGCCAGACTCCTGCCCAGCACGTGGCACAGCCCCAGGAGCAGTCAAGGCCTGGCTGCGGGCTGGGGACCCTAATGGGTCGTCCCCCACGGGCTGCGTGGCTAAGCGGCCCCCTCCAGACCCCTCCTGCCAGCGAATTCCTGGCTCCCCGGCCCCTCCCCAGGCTCCCGGGCCTCCCAGCCCTCTCCCCCGCTGGCCCAGCCAGTGTCTGAATCTGCTTCTGATTCCGCCTCTGCCGACGAGGCCCCCTCCCCTCCCTTCCCTCCTTCCCGGCCCGAGCAGCCCCGCCCCCGGCTGGGCCCAGGCTTGCGCCTGCTGCGCCCCCCACCCCCTCCTGGCACAGTTCGCCCGCCCTCGCTGCAGCTGGGAGGAGGCTGCGGCCCCGGAGCCCCAGGCCCCGCCCGCCCTCGGCCCTTCCCGGGAGGCTGGGAGACCTGCTCGACCCGGCCCTCGGTGGGTGAGTGGGAGCGGCGGGTGGCGGGTGGGGCCTCCGCGGGCGGAGGCGCCGGGAGCTGGGGCGACGCCTGTCATCGCTCCAGGCCCAGCGGGAGGACGCGGCAATATCTCCGCTGCTGCGCTCGGCCCGGGACGTGCCTGTGGCTGCTCCCACCTCTGGGCCCCGGCTGGGGCCGCCGTGGGGGCTCTGGTTGCTCGGCATTGCGAGCCGGCGGGCAGAGCCTCGGACCCAGGCTCTCTGTCCCTGAGGGCAGCGGCGTGGGGCCCCGGCCGGCTGGCTGACCCACGGTGATTCCGGCCATGCCCAGCTGGCCCTGGGGGCTGCTGCTGACCGCAGGCACGCTCTCGGCCGCGCTCAGCCCGGGGCCGCCGGCGCCCGCCGACCCCTGCCATGACCAGGGGGGCGCGCCCCGCAGCTGTGTGCCCGGCCTGGTGAACGCGGCCTTGGGGCGCGAGGTGCTGGCGTCCAGCACGTGCGGGCGGCCGGCCACGCGGGTCTGCGACGCCTCGGACCCGCGGCGGGCACACCCTGCTGCCCTCCTGACCTCCGCAGGGGGCACTGCAAACCCTGTGTGCTGGCGTTCGGAGTCGCTGAGGAAGGCGCCCCTGAACGTGACCCTCACAGTGCCCCTGGGCAAAGCTTTTGAGCTGGTGTTTGTGAGCTTGCGCTTCTGCTCGGCACCCCCTGCCTCTGTGGCCCTGCTCAAGTCGCAGGACCACGGCCGCACCTGGGCCCCGTTGGGCTTCTTCTCCTCCCGCTGTGGCCCGGACTACGGCCGCCTGCCTGCCCCTGCCAATGGCCCAGCTGGCCCCGGGCCTGAAGCTCTTTGCTTCCCTGAGCCCCAGGCCCAGTCTGATGGTGGTGGCCTTCTGGCCTTCAGTGTGCAGGATGGCAGCCCGCCAGGCCTGGATCTGGACAGCAGCCCAGTGCTCCAAGACTGGGTGACTGCCACGGACATTCGAGTAGTGCTCACAAGGCCTGCTATGCTGGAGGACACCAGGGACTCTGAGGCCATGGTCCCTTACTCTTACTCAGCCACTGAGCTCCAGGTGGGGGGTCGCTGCAAGTGCAATGGGCATGCCTCCAGGTGCCTGCTGGACACCCAGGGCCTCCTGATCTGCGACTGCCGACATGGAACCGAGGGCCCTGACTGCAGCCGCTGCAAGCCCTTCTACTGTGACAGGCCATGGCAGCGGGCCACTGCCCGGGAAGCCCACGCCTGCTTTGGTGAGGCCTGGAGGGTGGCCTGGGGATCTTGGACATGGCCAGCCTGGCCCTGACCCATCCCTCCCTGCAGCTTGCTCCTGCAATGGCCATGCCCGCCGCTGCCGCTTCAACATGGAGCTGTACCGACTGTCCGGCCGCCGCAGTGGCGGTGTCTGCCTCAACTGCCGGCACAATACCGCTGGCCGCCACTGCCATTACTGCCGGGAGGGCTTCTATCGAGACCCAGGCCGTGCCTTGAGTGATCGCCGTGCTTGCAGGGGTGAGCCGGCCACCAGCCACCTGCACACCCTCACCCTTGGGTTTCCCACATCCCCAGATGGGCTTCTGATCATCCCACCTCTGTCCTCAGCCTGTGACTGTCACCCTGTTGGTGCCGCTGGCAAAACCTGCAACCAGACGACAGGGCAGTGTCCCTGCAAGGACGGTGTCACTGGCCTCACCTGCAACCGCTGTGCCCCTGGCTTCCAGCAGAGCCGCTCTCCGGTGGCACCCTGCGTGAGTGAGTGACCCTGCCCTGGTTAGGCCACCTCAGCCGAGGCCACCCCAGCTCCCTGCTGCTGCCTGCTGTCCCCTGAGCCCTGTTCCCCTCAAACGCAGGCCATTCTCCCACCTTCTCCGCAGAGACCCCTGTCCCTGGACCCACTGAGGAGAGCAGCCCTGTGGAGCCCCAAGGTGAGTGGACACAGTACAGTCCCAGACTGGCATGTCCATGGGAGGAGGAGGAGAGGGTAGAGGAAGGAGGTGGGGTGTGTGTCAGCCTCCGGCCCTGCCCCCGCAGACTGCGACTCACACTGCAAACCGGCCCGAGGCAGCTACCGCATCAGCCTGAAGAAGTTCTGCAGGAAGGACTACGGTAGGCCGCCCTCAGGCTTCCTGCTCCCACTTTCTCACCTTGCTCTCCCCACTTGCCTTTTGGATACCCTGACCCTTGCTGGTCCCCAAGGCCATCCCTCAGGTCCCCCACTGTCGCTGGCCCCGCCCTATCAGCCCCCGGTGTCCTCTCTGTGCCCCCCGTGCGGTGTGTCCTCTCTGTGTCCCTGCTCAGCACTCCCCGCCCCCCCACTGCGGGACCCTGTGCTCCTCCGCGCGACCGCCTCCTCCTGGCCCCGCCCCTCCTGACTCCGCCCCCGTCTCGCCCTCCCGGCAGCGGTGCAGGTGGCGGTGGGCGCGCGCGGCGAGGCGCGCGGCTCGTGGATGCGCTTCCCGGTGGCCGTGCTCGCCGTGTTCCGGAGCGGCGAGGAGCGCGCGCGGCGCGGGAGCAGCGCGCTGTGGGTGCCCGCGCGGGACGCGGCCTGCGGCTGCCCGCGCCTACTACCGGGACGCCGCTACCTGCTGCTGGGGGGCGGGCCGGGGGCAGCGGCAGGAGACCTTGGGGGCCGGGGGCCCGGGCTCAGCGCCGCCCGCGGGAGTCTCGTGCTGCCCTGGCGGGACGCGTGGACGCGGCGTCTTCGGAGGCTGCAGCGGCGAGAGCGACGGGGGCGCTGCGGGGCTGCCTGAGTTCGCAGGCCGGGCGGGGTCCGGGCGGGGTGTTGCTCCCACATCAAGGCGCACGTTCATCCAGTGCATTCGCCTGTCGAGGAGTCTTTGCTCGCGTCGCGCGTCTCGCCATCTAGGCCCCCGCCCCGACCCTGTCAGGTGCCTCCCCCGGTGCCTCGCGCCTGTGCCCAGTTGGGGTGTGACAGACGCAGCGACGCCCCGACAGAGAGGGATGTGATAGCCCCAAAGAGCTGCTTCGAGGCTACCTTGGGCAACTGTCATGCCAAAGAACTCCTTGGTCTCCCCCCCCTCGCGCTATCTGCCCCCTCCAAGGGGCACAGTGATCCCCCCCGGAAGGCTGTGAACTCTCTTGTGGGGCTGAACACTTCGGTGCTCTGCGAACACCGCAAGGGCCACTGTGACTCTACCCCCACAGACTCTGTGAGAGCGCTCTGACTCCCCAAGAGGCACTGTGGCCACCACAGACACCTGTGGACCCCTATGGGGCTCAGTGACACTGGCTCCCCCGCCCCCTGCCAGGACTCGCGGAGGGCGGTGTGACTCCTCCCCCAGCAAGGACGGCGGCCTCTGGTCCCCATCTGTCCCGCCTGTCACCTCTGCCTGCCCTGTTTGCCGGTTGGGCGTCCGTGTCCCGTTCCTGCTGCGTCTCTGCCTGTGTTCGGCCTTTTTCTTGGCCTGCTGTGTCCCTGTCTCTTGTCTCTGTCCGGCTGTCTCTCTCAGCCTCGGCCTCAGGGTTCCTCTGCTCTGGTCCCGCCCCAAGGACCCCCTGTGCCCCTTCTCCGCCGGCTCAGAACCGACATCGTGCCCACGCGGACGCGCGTTCTCAGGCCTACGCGTAACCCGGCGGGGCAGCGGCGACTCCGGCGAGCAGCCCTCCCAGCTCCGGATGCCCCCGGCCCGGCCCTCGGCGGGGCCCCGCAGCCCTCTGCTCGCTCCACTCGAGCCCAGAAGGGCCGCGCGCGAACCCCCACCCCTCCTCGCCCAGACCGGTCCCGGGCCGGCGCATGCTCCCGCCGTCCCGCCGCGGGGCGTCAGCGCGCATGCCCAGAACCCGCTGCGGCGGA